CCGCTGCCGCGGCGCTGGCGCAGGCCGCGGGCGGCGTCGCCGCCGCCGCGCAGCTGCCAACCAGCCTGCCGCTGGGCCGGCCGGTCGTGAGCCTGCCCCTTGGCGCGCACCCGCTGGCGCTGCCGCCGCTGGCCCCGCCGGCCGCTGCGCCGCTGCCGGCCGCAGCGCAGGCGCAGGTCGCGCACGCGGCGCAGGCGGCGCAAGTCGCACAGCAGCACGCGCACAGCCTGCAGGCCGCGGCGCACGTGCACGCGCAGCGCGCGCAGGAGGCGAGCCACCAGGTTCAGAGCCTGCAGGCGACGGCCCACGCGATCGCCCAGACGCACACCGAGATCGTCGCTCAGATCGAATCGGTCAAGTCCGCGGCCGTCGCGCACATCCAGAACCCGCAGCCGACGATCCCGGCGGCGGAGGTTGTCAAGCACGCAGAGGAAGCCGTGCAGAAGCTGCAGGTGCAGGCGCAGGCGCAGGCGGTGGCCGCGATGGAGGTGACCGCCGCGGCGCAGCGCGCAGAGGCGGAGGTTCAGAAGCACGCCGCCGCGCACGCGCAGGCGGCAGCGCAGGCGCAGCAGCTGCAGGCGCAGGCGCAGAGCCTGCACATACAGGCCGCGATGACGAACGCGGCGGCGGCGCCGCCGGCCGCCGCGGCGGCGCTGTCTGCCGGCGGCGTCCTGCTTGCCGGGGCGCCGCTGGCCGCCGGAGGCCCGGCCCCGCCGGTGGCTCTCGCGAGCAGCGGTTCGTTCAGCGCTGGCCAGGCGGGGTCCATGGTGGCGGGCCAGGCGGCGGCCCCTCCGCAGATCATCTCCGCGGGCGCCCCTTCGGGGGCGGCGCCCGCCGCCGTCGATCCCGGGGCGCGCAACGTCGTCGGCCCCGGCCTGGCTGTTGCAGGAATCCCAGGCGTCAATTCGGTGGGGATCTTGCAGGTGAGATCTGCGCACCAGATCTGCATGGAAGTGCATCAAGGCCGGGGACGAGGCCAAGGGGCGCCACCGCTGCTGCCGCGTGGCGGGGCTTGCAGTGCTGGTCCTTGCCCAGCGCGCTCCAGCCCGTGCGACCCCCTCGCTGCCGCTCCCCGCGCCCCCTCCCCTCAGGCGCACCCCTCCCCGCCGCTGGCGCCCGTCCAGGCGCCGGTGGTCACCACCCAGCTGCCCATCCCGGCCGTCGCGCAGTCGATACCCATTGTGGTGTCCAGCGCGGCCATGGTCGCGGCCGCGATGTCGCTCGGCGGCCCGCAGCAGCCGCCGGCTGCCCTGCACGCGGGGCTCCCCGTCGTGCCCGCAGCGGCGGCGCCGCCGCAGCAGCACCAGCTGCAGCAGCTGCAGCAGGGGCACCAGGTGCTGCTGTCGCTGTCCCCGCCGCTCGCAGGGGGCGCGGGCGCGGGCGGGGGGGGCGGCGCGTCCGTCTCGGCGCACTCTGGCTCGGTGCTGCCACCCCACAGCGAGGCGGGCGGCACCCCCTCAACGCAGCCGATGGACCCCGTGACGCAGCAGCAGTTGGCGCATCACCAAGCGGCGCAGCAGCAGGCACAGCAACAGCAGCAGCAGCAGCAGCAGCAGCAGCACGCAGCCATACAGCAGGCAGCGCTGCAGCACCAGCAGCAGCACCAGCAGCAAATGCTGCAGCAGCAGCAACTGCAGCAGCAGCAGCAGCTCCAGCAGCAGCAGCAGCTCCAGCAGCAGCAATTGCAGCAGCAACAGCAGCTGGAGCAGCACCAGTTTCAGCTGCACCAGCAGACGCCGCAGCAATCGCAACAATCACAGCATTCGTCGCAGCAGCTTCAGCAGCAGCAGCAGCAGCAGCAGCAGCAGCAGCAGCAGCAACAGCTGCAACAGCAGGTGCAGCAGCAGCAGCAGCAGCAGCAGCAGCAGCAGCAGCAGCAGCAGCAGGTGCAGCAGCAGCAGCAGCAGCCCCCGCAGCAGCAGCAGCAGCAGCAAGCGCAGGTTGACCCCGCCTCGGCAGCCGCCGCTGCTGCCCAGATTGCGCACGCGGTCAGCTTACAGGCGCAGCAACAGGCCGCCCAGGCTGCACACGTACACGCGCAGCAGGCGGCACAGCTGCAGCAGGCACACGCAGCGGCGGCCGCCGCGCACGCTGCGAGCATCCAGGCGCAGCAGCAGGCGCAGCTGCATGCAGAGCACGCCGCGGCGATTGCCGCGGCGCAGGTGCAGGCTCAGGCAGTGTCGATGCAGCAGCAGGCGGCGGTGTCCGTGAGCGGGGGCGTGCAAGGCTCGCAGCAGCAGCAGCAGCAGCAGCAGCAGCAGCAGCAGCAATCTCACCTGCCCGCTGTAAGCGTGAGTGGGAGCACGGCCGGCCTGCCGCCGCTGCCCCCGCGTGAGGGGTCGATCAATGGGCCCGCCTCCTCGGCGCTGATCCTCCCGGCACCCGTCGCGCCGGGAGGGGCGCCCGTCGCTGCTACACCTATAGCCCACTGCGACAGCTCGGCCTCGCTGCATGCGCTGATGCAGCAGCAGGCGCAGCAGCAGCAGCTGGAGCAGCACAACTTCCATTTGCAGCAGCAGCAGCAGCAGCAGCAGCAGCAGCAGCAGCAGATGCAAATGGTCCTACCAGAGGGCGCAGCGGACGCCACGCCGCGCACCTCCCTGCATGGTGCCACGCCCCCAACCGTGTCGGCGGCCCCATCGCCTGGCGACCCTGCGGCCGCGGCGGCGGCGGCGGCGGCGGCGGCGGCGGCGGCGCACATGCCCGCCAGCATGCTCGCGCAGCCTGCGGCCGTCCTGCCGCTGGGGCCGGGCACCCACTCCGTCGTCCTACCCCAGGTGGCGCAGAAGCAGGCGCTGCTGCAGCACGCGGCGCAGCTGCCGCCCCTGCCCCCGCAGCAGCACCACCACCACCAGAACCACCCGCAGCCGCACCAGCCGCACCAGCCGCAGCAGCAGCCGCAGCAGCGGTCCCTCAACGGGCAGGGGCTCAACGCGGCGCCCGGCGTGCTGCTGGCGAGCCTGGTCGACCAGGCTCTTTCGGGCCACACCCTGGCTGAGCATGCGCTGGCCGCGGCGGCGGCGGCGCCGCTCACGCCGCTGGACCCCCACAGCTTGCTCGGGGACCTCGCATCACCGATGCTGCCGCCGCCGCGCGACCCGGCCGAGCCCTCCCAATACTCGTCCATGGCGCCGCCGCCGGCCAAGGTGCCGCGCCTCATGCCGCCGGGCGATCAGGGGACGCCGGCAGCCAAGGCTGCTGGGCCCGCGGTGCAGCAGCAGCAGCAGCCGCCATTGGACGCGATCGAGGCGCAGCTGAGCGCGCACAGCGGCGGCGGGCAGGGGTTGCCGGCGCACGACCTCGACCCCCATGCGGTGCAGCTGCTGGTGGCGGCTCCCGGCCACCGGCCCGCTGCGGGGCCCGATGCCGCAGGAGCGCCCCCGCCGCCGGTCATTTGAGCGAGGCGCGCGCTTGCGGCCGAAGGCGGTGCCATGGGGGCACCATGCCCGTCTTTTTTTGCACGAGGGTACTGTTTGGGAGCAGCCAGGGCTTCTATTCTCTTGCTGTGTCGATCTGCTCACCCCCTTCCACCTTCTCTGCGACCCGCTCGCCCTGGCCCTCCCGTACACTTGCGTTTGTGGCCCCATTGTCCTTTGACTATGCGTCGTGGCTCCACTCGCTACTGAGCTGCCTCCCCGGGCCCTGCTTGGAGGGGGGCGCGGCGCCTTTGAATGTATCCTTTCGCCGCACTTTCGTACATACGCCACGCAGCACTCGCTGCCCGCCGCCCCTGCAGCATCCTCGGGGCGGCGGCGGCAGTGGGCTGGTGCGAGGTGCTTATGCTCGGTCTTGCGTTCAACGCGTGTATGTGTGCTTGCACTGTCCCCACCGCCTCGCGTCCCTGCCTGTCCGCTCGCGCCGTCTCCGCTCGACTGTTCCTACATGACACATCGTCCCTCCAGTCCACCCAGTCTTGAAGACGCTTGATGAGCATGGGACTCAAGTCGCTTGATGCTGCAGGGGGGAACGCGCGGCGGCTGTTTGCGCTGCCTGGGAGAATGGCCGTCCTGTATTTTGGGGCAGCCTCCCACCTTCTTATACAGGGCCTTTTTACACTGCAAGGTGGGGCGGCCGGCGCGCCGGGCCTGCTGCGCTTTCGATAGCCTCAACACGCAAACCCGCGGCGCCTGTCTGCTTATTGTATCTGCCTTGGGCAGGCAGGCAAAGTAGGCGAGGTCACGGGTGCCTTTTTTTTGCCACACACACTCACTCACTGCCTTTTGCCTCAGTGGACTGTGAGAGGGCGGCCGCCCCGCGCCGGTTCAACCCGACCCGCAGCCCATACGGCCCGCGCACTCTGCCGCTGCGCGCGGCGGCGGCACGCGGGGGATGCAAGGGCCCAGCCAAGCGGGGCCCAGGCAGACACGCACTGTCCCCGGGTGGGCGCCGCCCCGCCGGGGAACCAACACGCGCAGCACATGGGATGTACGAGGCGCACTGCCCGCGGCTGTGGCGCGGCGCTTTGCGAGCGGCCCCTGGGACCTGACAATGTGCACTCCATCCGCGCCGTGTGCCCTGATCCACACCACGGTCGGAGCTTCGCGCGCCCCGAACTTTGACCGACCGACCGCCCTGTTGACCGACCATAACGTTTGACTGACCCATGCTGGTTCGGCAGAACCCCCACGGAAGCCACCCCCAATGTTCAATGCAGCTCGCGGCTTGCGCGCAACACTGTATGCCCGCCGCTGTTTTGGGAGCGTGCGCGCGGCTCCCCTCTGGCTTGTCCCCTCCCTGCATCCCTGCGCTGTTGTGTGATCCAACCCTGCATGTAATAATCCCTCACAACCCCTGGGCCCATGTTTGAGACGCCACAGCTGAACCAGCTCATCCATCCGCCAGCCCGCACGAGCGCCATGCATCGCTGAGGCTTACACGACCACTCATCCCAGGGCTTGGGCGCCAACCCTACGAAGGGCTAGATTTGCAAAAAAAAGTGTGCCTTGCGCAACGCACGCATGGCCAGCCTTATGCGGCAGCAAAGCAGACGTCTTCGCGGTGCACGCCCTGGTGAGGGCACGGTCGATCATGGCCTGGCCGGCCAGAGCTGCGGCCGCCAGGGCCACGCCCGCGCGCGCCGCATGCGACCCAGCCGCCTGCTTGGCGCCTACACGTCCTCCCGCCAGCGGTGCCCGCACGCGCAGCAGTTGAAGTAAAGCACCATCCCCGTCTCGCTGCTCTGGCTGAAAAACACCGCCTCCCGGTGGTGGCAGTCTGGGCACTCTACATCCTTGGTGCGGGGCAGCGTCGGGTCAGCGCGCACGTCCTGCAAGATCACGGTCTGCTCCTTGCTGTCGTGCTTGATGCGGGCCACGTGGACGCAGTAGTCGTCCGGCTCGGCCTCCTCGACGTGGCTGCAATTCTTGCAGAAGAACTCGAGGCGCCGCGTGTTGCGGTTCTCCCGGGGGTACAGCAGGTCGTTGCTTTCTGGGCAGAACTTGAGCCCGCGGCTGCGCGGCGCCGCGGCGGCCGCGGCGCCGTGCTGCGCCATCCGGGGGCCGGCCG